CCAACACGTTTCGTTTGGCATGAGCAAACCTCATCCATGTAAAGGTTAGTTGATCATTCGTTATACACTTTTTGGCCTCATTAATTACCAACTTTATTCACCTCGGACAACTCAGCCTATACTAACTTGCTTGTCGGAGTTCTAAGTCCGGGATATCACCCCAGGCCCTCTGACCTCGCTCTCTCTTGCAAGTACCCCTACTGACCTTCGATCTACCTCCGGGACCCCATAGACACTTTTGATCTTCATCAACTAGACACTCTTCACTTTCTTGTTCCCTTTTGCTTTTCCATTCTCACTTCCCGCTCGTGTTTTTGGGTGTGTTTGTATTGTTCATAAGTTGGGCCTTGGCTGTGACAAACTTGACTCTTGAGCTATCAGGTATGTGTTCCTTGGTTACTATCGCAATAAAAAATGGTATAAACGCTCTGATCTTGTCCTTTGTAAAGATTTTGTAGTTCCAGATGTTACATTCTTTGAGAGCATTTCTAGACAGGTGTCCTTGCCTTCTATTCCTCTTCCCTTTAATTCAGGAGATGAGTTTATTCCCCTTCCCACCATCGAGGAGCCTTTATGACCTTCGATTCACAAAGTGTATTGTAGATGAGATCAAGAGCCAACATTATTATTTGCACCGACTCCAACTTTGGCTTCTGGCTTACCACTAACATATTCACCATTGTTAGATCCTCCTCAGTCAAACCTTCATCTTCTTATTATTCTTCATAAAGGTAAGCATACCTATACTAAGCATCCTATTTCCTGTTATGTTTCCTTGGCTTGCCTATCTCCTGCACATCAACAATGTATATCTCTTTTGTCCTCTGTTTTCATTCCTTGTTCTATCGAGGAAGCCCTTGTCCCACCCAACTAGAAGAAGGCAATGGATGGGGAATTTCATACTCTTGAATCCAATCATAAATGGGACCTTATCACCTTGCCTCGTGGGAAACAAGCAGTTGGTTGCCGATGGGTATATACATCAACAAGATGGTAATATTGAGTGTTTTAAAGCCCATGTTGTGGCCAAGGGTTACACAAACATATGGTGTTGACTACTCAGAGACATTCTCTTCCGTTGCCAAAATGGGCATAGTCCGGGTGCTTATCTTCTTAGTTGCTCATTTTGACTGGCCCCTTTTTTAACTTGATGTCAAGTAGGGCTGTACACGGGTTGAGTTGGGTCGGTTTACTGGGGTTTTCCCAACCGACCCGACCTGGTGGGGTTACCTGAGGTGGAAACCGAAACCGACCCACTGATAGGCAAAACCGACCTGGTCGGTTTGAGTCGGGTTGGGTCAGTTTCGGTTTTGCTCCTGTAGTCAAACCTTATTTTTGAAACTTGTCTCACCTTTGGTCCAGTGTCAACCTTACTAACCCCTGTTCCACTCAAAAAGCTTTTGTATTTCCCTGGTAAGCGAGCAACCTTAATCTGTTCAGACCTTTGTTGACCACCACCTGTCATTGACCAGAGAATTTTTCATGTCTAGGTTCCCAACTGTCCTTTCTCAGAGCCTAGAGTGGCCATCTGGGCATAAGTTTTGAATTGAGACGTTGGATTCAGACCCAGTGATCCTGATCTGCTATTAGAGGAAGGAAGCTGTAAGACTTCCTTTCCCACACCGAGCTCCAAAGTTTCCTTATTTCTGAAACTTCTAATCGCCTTCTGTGATTCCTTTCTTTGGCTGAAAAAGAAGCTACTTTTGTCCATGTCAATGAAGTTAGGAACTACCGAACTAGTAGAAGACTAGTTAAGTAGGAAGACTAGTTCGGTTCGGTTTCGGTTTTTACACAAGAAAACCGAAACTGACCCTATATTTTGGTTTATAAATTTGCCCAACCCGAAACCGACCGGTGCTGATGAAAACCTGGCCGACTCGGGTTGGTCGGTTTGGTCGGGTTGGGCCTTCTTATGAACAGCCCTAATGTCAAGAATTCCTTCCTTAATGGTGATTTGCAAGAGGTGTACATGGAGTGACTTCCTAGGTATGTTGCTCGGGAAGATGTAGGAAATGTGTGTAAATTGTGGAAGGTTATCTATGGGTTGAAGCAATATCCACAGGCTTGGTTTGGCCAATCAGTAGTGTGATGCAGGAATTTGGCCTAAAGCAGCACAGTGTTGATCACTTTTTGTTCAGTGGAAACACCTCATCTAGGAAGATTGTTCTGGCTGTGTATGTTGATGATATTGTTCTTATAGGCACTGATGCTAAGGAATTATTGAACTGAAGTGTTTTTGCAACAACATTTTCAAATCATGGATCTAGGATCCTTAAAGTACTTCTTGGGAATTGAAGTTGCCTGGTCAAATTGGGGAATCTCTTTGTCATAGAGGCAAATATGTTCTAAATTGCTAGATGAAACTGGGCTTCTAGGTGCCAAACTTGTCAAGACACCTATGGATCCCAACGTGAAGATGATTAATAATCAGGGAGAGTTGTTGAGTGATCTTGGAAGGTATAGAAGATTAGTTGGGATGCTGATTTACCCCACTACCACCCGTCCTGATATCTTCTTCAGTATAGGAGTGCTAAGCCAAGTTATGCAGAATCCCACAACTATTCACTAGGAAGGTGTTATTATTGTGTTGAGGTACCTAAAGGGTGCTCCAAGTCGTGGTTTATTGTATAAGAAAGGGGGAGAACTATCCCTGGAAAGGTTTACAAATGTAGATCGGGCAAGGTCATCAATGGATAGGAAATCCACTAGTGGCTATTGTACCTTCTTATGTGGGAATCTAGTCATTTGGAAAAGTAAGAAACAAAGTGTAGTTGCTAGATGTAGTGCTGAAGTCGAGTACAGGGCACTTGTGAATTGATTTGGTTAAAGCATCTTCGCCAAGAGAACCCAGAATCACTTAAGGAGGTACCTATTATCTAGGGATGGGAATCACTCAACACAAATAGCATAAGCTGTAAAAACTCAAATAAACTTCGGTGCCGTTCGACAAGTCCTTTTAGAAAGATCTTCCAGCAGCCCAGATGGCCAAAAGCCATAGTGAGCTTTTGGGTCTTAAGATAAAGATTGTTTGGTAAGTGGTTTGGTATACTAGGCTTTTAAAAACGCCATAGTGAGCTATATATCATGCGGAAAGACCAAAAAGCTTCATTTGGAGCTTCCTGAAAATCGGCGTTTTCAGTCTTTTCGGGTCTTTCTGTGCATGCATCTTCTCATATTTCTGGCTTTTGGTTACCAAATGGAAAAAGACCAATTTTTGGTCTTTTGAGCTTACCGAAGCCCAGAAAACTGTGGAAAGATTTGCCAAATGGCGCCTTCATTGATCCTTGTGTAAAATGTCCACATATTTATAGATTGTAGACCCATAAGAATCTTAGTAGGACTCTGATGGCAATCAAGATGGGTCAAGTAGGCAGAATTTACAAGGGGCAGCTTATGCAATTCAAGTTCTGGACCTGAATTTGGAGGTTTAGGAAATCTGGGCCAGCTTCATGGGACTTTGACTACTTGGTGAAATGGGCCTCCAAGTAGTTTGGTCCATTAGTATATCCTTTTCTGGAGTCAAAATTGTCTTTAATATCTTATTTATGTCTAGTTTTGTAGCGAGAATGCATGTAGTAGTCCTATCTATGTCTTGTAGGTTGTGGAGTGATAGTAAGTTGTGACTGCACTAAATGATTAATATCTTGTTAATTGTGTTAGTTAAAGAGTCCTTTGGGAATCATAGAATGTTGGGTATGTGGGAGTTTCTCTCTCAATTTCTACACTGGAAACTGTTTGGTTTTCACATTGAAAACCTGCTGCAACTCTGCTTCACTTTATGGACCATTTCTGGTTAGTTGGAGAATCTGAGGTCATACCAATTTCAGGCTTGGAAATTGAAGCAATTACAGGTGCAGATTCTTTCCACACAACGTGGCATCAGACTCAAAACCAGAAAATTACTAAATTGCTATTATCCTATTTCAATTGAAAGAACACTTGATAACTCTTAAACTATTTATTCAATGGCTCTAAAACTTTAAACATAAACCAACTAGAGTTAGACAAATCAGACCCTATCATTGGATCCTAAAGAATGTAAAATGATAAAAATATCCCTGGTGTCCAATTCAACCCAAATGCCAAGTACTAGGGGTGATTATGGGTCGGTTTGGTTCGGTTCGGTTCGGTTCCATGGCAGAACCTGGAACCTATCCCGTAGAGGTCGGTTCTGGTCTTGGTGGTTCTGGGGTTGTTTCCAAGGTCTACCTGTGGAACCTCCTGTTCTTTGTAAACATTACCTTTTACATTACTTAATGTAGACAATCAAATATTAAAATGAAAACAAATGATCAAATAACTTATGTAACTCAATGGCCAAGTGAGACCATGGCCTTTGTAACCATGAGTTATTGGGTTCAAATCTTCACATCCCCAAAAGTATTTTGGGGCTTATTTCAAGGCATGTTCGGTTCCAAGGCTGGTTCCACCAAGGCCAACCAAGGTCGGTTCATTGGGTCGGTTCGGGTAGGGTAAACCCATAGACCCTGGAACCTACTTAGGTGGGGGTTGGTTCCAAGAATTTGGAACCAGACCCTACCCTGTAACAGATTGGGTAGGGTCAGTTCAAGGCCGGTTCGAGGTCAGTTCCATTCGGTTGCAGGAAGAACCCACCCATTTGCTCACCCCTACCAAGTACCATCGTCGTGCCATATCAAGCCTCTTGTAAGGCCTTCTTTCTTCTAGAATAAGTCTGAGGCTGATTGAAAGTTTGGGCAAGAGCCGCAAGACTTTGTCAAGTATTGATCTTCAGTTTCCCCAATATATATATATATATATATATATATATTGTTAAACTTCCCCAATATAATAGGAGCATATAAGTTTTCTTGCAAAAACTTCAATTTTCCCAAGCATGCCTTACATTTTATATGAACTTGGACGAATGCTGTTTTTTATTTACCTAGTGTAGCATGACTGAAGGCTCTGATGCTTTTAAAGGTTTTGCTGGTTCCTAGTTTGGACTGGAACATCTGATCATATATTTGGTGCATGTGCAGATGTTGATTTATGAGTTCATGCCTAATGGGACACTACGAGATTGGCTTTGTGGTAACTTCTTTTTCATCAATTTCATGTTTTTCCTGCATTATATTGCACTAGCTACTGCCTTGCAGAATACTTACTTTCTAATTCCTAATGTTTTAGTTTAGTAAAATTTTATATGATGTAAGTTGAAGCCATGGAAATTGCAAAATTATTGATGAATCATGGATACAAGGCAAATTATTAATCTGGTATTTCTATCTGATGCTAGACAAACCACATGAGTCAATGACTGGGAGTGGATCCTATCTTAACTATTGATACAGAAAGAAGTAATACCTTTATATCATCTGGTACTTTGTCTATGTTATGTAGTATGAATATATGCTGCAATTATATGGAGTATTTGGGGGAAGATGAATGCCAGAATCTTCTCTGAAAAAGTGCAGCCCTGTGAGGTTATTATTAATCTGGTCATTATTCAAGTAGCTGGCTTGAGAAAAATTCAGATGTTCTTTAGTTGATGATATTGTTAGAGGATGATTTACTTTCCTGAGCTCTTCATTCTACATAGAAATACTTATGTAAAGCTGGTCTCCCTTTCCAAAAGAGCAACCAAACTGAATTTTGATGGTTTCTTGCTCCAGAATCCTGGTACAACTGTAGAGTTAATGGGGCTTTTAGGTATCTTGGGTTGAGATCATCATTTATATGTTTGATCCAGTTGGGAGATTCTCCATGGCTGATATTCTGACCCTTGTCAAGGGTGTTAGGTTGATGTTTCTGTTGACAGAAGGTGGAGGGAGAACGAGACATCATTTTTAGCTTAGATAGCTCTTTGATGGTCTCTGTTTTTTTCATCGTCCTGTTAGAGAAGCTAGATGTTTGAAATTTAGGGTGAACATCTTATTCATATGAACGATGTGGATAGATAAGACTCTAGCAGACATCTTCGCTACAGGATGGGTAAGAAGGTATGAGTTATACTTGGGGTCTTTTCTTCATGGGAGCTAATTTGCTTTCTTGTTCTTTTTTCTTTTTTGATAATTAATTTGCTTTCTTGTTCTTGTCAGGTTTGGTTATTTTGTTCTTACGCTGCCCATTGAGGTTTTCCTGTCTTGCTTCTTCTTTGGCATGATTTTGTACCTCCTCTTTTCTTTTCATATAATAAATTTTTCTTTTTTACCAATTAAAAAAGTACTTGGTTTTTTACCAATTAATAAAATTTTCTCTACTGAAACATTTATTATAACTTGTGTAACTCTTATTTGTCAATATGCATTTTACTTGTGGATAGCTTTTTAGCTTTTGGTAGTAGTGTAATGCTTGTGTGCATTAGTTTTTGAACTTAATTTCACTAACCACAGAATGTGATTGGCAGTTAAAGCAAAAGAACGCCTAAGTTTTGGTATGAGGTTGCATATTGCATTAGGTTCAGCCAGAGGAATCCTTTATCTCCATACCGAAGCTAACCCTCCTATATACCATCGAGATATCAAAGCCAGCAACATACTTCTGGACTCTAAGCTTAATGCAAAAGTGGCTGATTTTGGACTATCACGACTTGCACCAGTTCCAGATGAAGAAGGGATGATGCCTGGTCACATTTCCACCATAGTGAAGGGCACCCCGGTAATGTTGTCTCTTCTAAAACATAAACATTGTTTGGTAATCTATGAACATAGTCATTAGGAGATTCATTCTCAATAATCTTTGCTATGAGAATTCCCTTTAAATATCTTTTGACTTTGCAATATTTTGTTGTCTATCAATTGTTCATCAATATATATGTGGTCAAATAAAGTCCACGAGATATTCTTTTTGAAGTTAAGAATAGGGAATTTGTAGAATACATTTCTTTTTTGGTATTTGGGTCCACTTAGGTTTAAGTTGTTTAATGGTCCTAGAAATTTTAGATGTGCCACTTCAGTTTTAGTAGGCTTTAGAGAGTTTTATATACAAGGATTCAATACTTAAACTACCCCTGTGGGTTTCTGAAAAATGCTTAAACCATTCCTTTGTTTCTTAATTGATTTATAAGTACCCCTGTGGTTTCTGAAAAATACTTATCAGAATGTTAGGCCATTAAAATGGACTGAAAGACCCTCTTGCCCTTTTATTCTTCAAATTTTCAAAACAGTGGTTTTTGACCCTTTTACCCTTTTGCCCTTTTCAAAACCATTCTGCTCCAGTGAGCGAGCGCCAAAGCTCCGAGAACACCCTATTTGCTAATGTTGTTCATTCATTCATTGCAATAAAATATCTTCTTAAAAGGCAATGAAAGTTATAAAAGCATTTTTTTTTATGTGAGAAATAAGAATTTCAGACCCTAACATAGACTTGTTCGGGCTTGCCTCGAGGGGCGTGGTACAAAGGCGACTTATAGAATCAAGAATAAAATATGTTTTACATCACATTAGCTACTTGAAGCAATGCAATTAAGGAAAAAACGAGATTGTGGGTTTTACATGCTTGAAAATGCTTTATATGTTTGCTTTTATTTTTAAATTTTCATTTGAATACGCTTTACATGTTATGTTTATGTATTTTAATTTTAGATAATATGTTTTTTAAAACATTTATTTTAAAATTTAAGTTTATATTTTTTTTTACATTATGTTTAATATTTTTTGATTTTTTTTTGAATTTTCTGACTTTTTTTTAGTTTTTTAGCTTTTTTTTTTGTAATTTTGCGCCCTTGCTTAAAATGGCGCACACCTTGCCTTGCGCCTTGCACCTCAGGCACAAATTGGCCCTTGTTCTTTTTTTGTGCCTTGCGCTTTTAAAACATTGCTTCTGAACGATGGTATCTTAATTGCGGGTGCTTATGTTATGAGGATTTTGTTGCAGTTCATGTCATTATGGAGTTGTGTACTGTTGTGTTGGGTTGCTTCCCAGATTAGGTGTTTCTTTGAGGGAAAAAACTGTCTCTAGAGAGAGAGATGAGAAGAATGAATTCTTGTTTCAATTGAGTGGAGTCAGGGCTTATATTAGCTTGGCCAGATTTAGATCTTCTACAAGTCATTTCTAACTATGAGTCCTTTGTAGGGTTATAGACAACTTGGTATCAGAGCAGGTCTTAAACAGTCTAGGGTTTCTCATGTACGGTCGTCCAACCGACTACATGAGACCTTTTCAGGGCTGGAAGTTTCAGCTTGAATCGCATGGTTCTTGGAGGTTGTTGGAGATTGCCAGAGGTGCCCAAAGTACTAGTAGTCGAATAGGACTGCAATCAATCCTAGGTACAATGTGAAATAAACAAAGAAAAAAGATTGAGGAGAGAAGAAGACGAAGAGAAGAAGAGGAGAACACAAAGAGAAGAATTCAGAAAGAGAGTGTTAACCATGATTGTCACCCCGCTCTACAATTTATATTAATAATCAAGTAAAGGGTGAAAGGGCTGAATTACCCTTACTACTTACATGGCAAAAGAAATAAAAGGAACTAATATAACTACCAACTGAATTAACTGCTAACTGAAACTAACTACCATCATAAACTAATGAACACAGTGGGGACCACATAAATAACATAGTGGGGACCACATTAATGTTCTCTACAGTACTGAAATCTTGGAAGGGGTAGTTTCTGGTGACCAGGAAGAATCAGAGTAAAACAGCTTGTAACCGCATATGAACTATCTATATGAACAAAAGTAGTGTGATTGGCTCCTACACTTTGTTGCCCGTTTGAAGAACTAGAACCGGCTGAATCCTTCTTATTCATAAGCTATCCATACTTCTCTAATTCAGTTCTAACTGTTGCTACTGCAATGGACTCTCAATCAGCTTGGGTAAGAGGTCCTGAAGAGTCTATTGCCACATTTGCATTTCCCTTATTGTTCTTGACCCGAGCTGGTATGAGGTGTGGGTGAAGCTTCTAACAAGTGTGTATGGTATGCTTAGTCTTCTTGCAAAAGTCACACACCAAGTCCTTTTTATCCTCCCTCCTAGTCTCACTACTCCCCCTGTCTTCATTTGGCTTAGGTTTGATTGTACTAATCATACCTAACTGATCAATCCCAGGCTGTCTCAAAATGGCATTCCTCTAGCTCTCCTCTCCAAAAACAAAGGCATAAGCTTGAGGAAGAGTCGCACTTTCTCTAGAAAGGATGTGTTGCCTACCAATGTCGAATTTAGGATTCAGGCTAGCCAAGAACTCAAAAACCCTATTCTTCTCTACCAACTTCTAATAGGATGTTGCATCCTTTGTACTCTCCCAAATCATAGTTTCTAAGTGATCTATCTCCTGCCAAAGTGTTTTCAACATGGAGAAATACATGTCAAGAGGTTTATCTCCCTGTTTTGTACTAATCACTTAATTCCTTAACTGATAGGCTCTAGCTACATTTTTTCTGGGAATAGGTTTCAACCACTCCATCCCAAATCTCCTTTGCAGTATTAGCCCACGAAAAGTTTTTACCAATGTTAGGTAACATAGAATTACACAGCCAGGCCATCACCATGTAATTCTCCTATACCCACTTGGAGGAATCTGTAACCAAGTTTCTTCTCCTCCCTAGTGATGTACCCTAGTTTCCCAAGACCACCAATGGCCATCTTGGCTGATTGTGCCCATTCTAAATAATTTGTACCATCCAATTTCACCATGGTAATAATTCCAGTCCAAAAGATATCATTAGTACCTCCAACACCCGAACCCATGTTACCGGTGGACTTTTGCTTAGTACTCCAACTCTCCATTTCAACTTCAAACAATTCAAAAACAGGAAATAAATAGGTAAAAGGCCTCCAAGACCAAATTGATCTCACACACAAGGGTAGCTGACCTTTTCGAAAGAAGAAAACCCTATTTGGAGAGAAATCTCTCTTCTTTCATCATCTTCCACCGAAGAGAAGAGTGAATCGATCACTCTAGATGGCCTAAAAACTCCCAGAAACTTAACCGCCCTTATAAAAAACCTAGAGAAGTCTAACAAGGTCCAAGCGCCCAAGATCAGGTCAAACTTGAAGAGTCCAACTTAACTGGGACTCTTCCCCACACTCCACCAGTTCTTCCTGATTTTGATGCCAAAACGTAGATCACCTTCTTGATGGCTGTAAAACACCAAAGACCAAAAATCCAAGAACTGGGTAGTCTGAAGTAGACCGATCTGCTCTTTATCTCATGCAATTGGCTGATCTAGGACTGCGTGGAAGAACTCCAAGAAACCCTAGCCTTGCTCTGATACCAAGTAGAAAATTGCTGAATCAGAAAATCTGTAAAAGAAAAGGTATTTCTTGAAGAAGAAAAGAAAGAGAAGAGATTTGAGAGAGAAAAGAGAGGTATGTTCTAGACGCCCTCTTCACTAGTATTTATATTTTAAAGAAGGGTACAAAGACCAATGCACCCTTATAGGGCGGTTAACACCTAAAACTGCATAAAACACTTAAAAGAACAACTGAAAAAGGACCCATCAAGGGTGTTGTGGTCTCCACTTCCTATCTAAACAATAAATAAACAAAAACTACTGATAAATCTGCACAAATCTGTCTAAAACCTCAACAATAGGCATCAACATGCAAGGAATTATCTGCTTAATCTTCAACTTTATGCCTTTTTCTTATTGGCATCAACTTGCTTGAATCCTCCATAACTGTTGGCTTAAGTTCTAGTGGTCCTCTTCTCCCTCAAGGTCTTCATTATGTAATAGAAAAGCTTGTTGGGCCTAGTCTTTTAAAAGTGTGTGAATAAACCCTAGTTGTTTCTAGGTCAAAGTAGAGAAGAAGAAAGAAGAAAGAAAAGAGAAAGAAGAAGGAGAGGAGAAAAGTATTCGGCCAGACTAGAAGAGAGGATGTACAAAAGTCCTGTCCTAGTCGACCCACTTGACTTTTATTCATGAAAACTTGAGTTACAAGAAAGACA